ACAGTAACGTAAGTGAAAGAATTCGTCGTGTAAGATTAACTGCCCAGTTTTGAAGGTGCGGCTGAATCTACATGGAACTTGCCAACTTTACATCTCAGGGTGACGGGTGCAGTGGCAGTACCCCTCGCTTACTATCAGACGTATGATTTGTTCATCCCGTCATCATTATAGCACTTATAGGATCCACTGCTGGACACGGGTCTCTCAAGCCATAGTTTAGGCCATAGTCTGCCACGCTCGCTGGTCCAACGCGGGTTGAGTATTCACACGTTTTCCGAGGGTTGTGACCTTCTTCCATATGCAGGTTTCACCGAAATTCTTATGGTACATTTCAGATTAAATTTCGCGCAAACTCAGAGGTGCGAGCGCGGATTTAAACCCACGGCCTTTGCTTGTAAGGCGGTAGGTCAAACCATAAGGGTACCACGGCTTTTTGTTCGTCACGTGTTATCAAAATCCCCAATAAATATCCCCAAAGACTTGAGAATGTACCAGTACTACCACCATTAGTAGCGGTAGAGCTCCTGGTGAAAGAGTTCGTCCGGTGTAGTATTGCCACCTTACCTATTTCTGCCGCCAAGCAGTAATGTTAGCATTATTGTGTTCCGGTTTGGAAGGGTAAGAGTGTTGGTGAAATTACAGGCACATGAGACTTGTCAACTTACGTCTCAGGGAGACGGGCGCAGTGGCAGTGCCCCTCAGATCTTTACGATTTAAAGCTCTGTGTGCGTGGCACTGCAACTGTTATGGACAGACGTGTAGCTATCAACAATGGCACGACTTCTTCGCCCCGTCAGTTAATATTGTAAAAAAACAACCTTCACTCCTAGTTTTATTTTCTAATATTTAAGTTTTTATTGTACCTTACCTGTATATTTTAACTTACTGGCTAGTAAATAAAACCCACCGAAAAGAAACTTCGCCTATTCTTGTTTTCGAAATATACGTGGAACTTTATACCGAAGTTCGAAGAAGATGTTTAATTGTCATACTATAGGTTGCGAACTAGACGTTGCACTCGAACAAGTTGGTTTCCAAGAGTTCAATACACCTCTGTATTCATTTCCTATTTAACGACTCCATTGGCCAAGAACCATTAGTCATTCGTGTAGATCTCGACTAGTTAAAGAGGCATGGACTCGTTCACAATTTATGCTGTAGCAAATCAAAGAAAGAGTGAGGCGTTAATCAGTGTATTTCTTGTTTTATGGGTACTGTTCCTATGCATCGTGGATTCCAATAACCCTTTAAAAGTTACACAATATAAAATAAACAGCATTAGATATAAAAATAGTTTTAAATCGAAATACATTTACTCTTCAAATAAAAAATTTCGTGATCAATTGAAGGTTTATTAATTTTTTCTTATTATTATTTTTTATATAATAATAACGCACACACTCAACATAGCCCCGCACTAGGGAAATCCTGTGTCGCGAGTGCCATGGACAACCCACATAGACAAACAACATTATAGACAAACAAATTACCCAAACGCACGAGAGAAATAAATGTAGGCCATAGAAATATTTCTCCCGGCCCGGGAATTGAACCTAGGACCTCTGCGTGGCTGTCCAGCATGATAACCGTTCGGCCACGGAGGCAGTTATTTAGAGTACTGAAGGGACTGCCAAGCTGGTGCAGAGCCTAGGCCATGTTTGCGGAAGCTCATACGGACAGCTTCCAGGCCGTAATATGGAAAAAGCTTGTCTCGCTGTTGAGTCGCGTGAGGCAAAGTTCCAACAGCATTCAAAGTGTAGTAGCAGGAAGATTTGGCTGTCCAACTGTAAAATTCTGGATAGAGCAAATTAAGGGCATAGCCCAATTTATAGTGAAGTTATAAATTAAGTCTGCATTGTATTGTACTAACCTTGTTATTAAATTCTCGTACTAACATACTATGAATATTTTAATGATCCGAAATAAAGAATTATTATTATATTATAATATCAATGAATACAGAAAGATATTATAGTAGAATAAGTTAACAAGTACCGAATATGACTCTTAAATAGTAATAACATAGGTTAAAGAGTTTAGATGTATAAAAAAACGCATTTTTGAACCAAAAACGAATAGTTAAACCATAAGTGCTTAAACAAATTTCAACTTAGAACTAAAAATCTACTTAACTGGGAAGTGAACTCACGACCTCAGGCTTCGCAGGCAGACTCTGCCCACTAGACCACTAAACCGTATCATTACTACCAAATAATTTGTTGTGGCAATCTGTTCAATGAGATACCAAAATGTCCGTGTCACATATTTCATATTTCATATTTCATATTTATTTATTGCATTTCTACATGGTTTCCTTAGATCTAGAATACATTTAATTTGTCCCTTAGACATGTAGCACCCCACTGGGGCATCGCAACATAAGAGAGAGCACACTCAAATAGTTAATTAATACATTTCATGCTTAAGTCAAATAATTGAATTAAATAATTGAATATCAAATAATTGAATAAATGAATTTCGCGGGTAGGCGTAAGCGAAAAACACGCCTTTCTCTAATACTCCTATTTAGCTACGTTTAAAAATAGTAGTTTTTGAAATTTTTAGACTTACATGCTATAAATGCATTATAGTAATTGACAGTTTCGCCACCAGCTAACATTCACCACATAAAACCACTTCACTGTTGAATAAATTAACACACAAGTTTTGTCACACAAAACCAGCAATGGACAACATCAGTATGCTGAGAAAGAACATGGACGAGCTGGCTGCCCTTTTTGCAAGTAAAATGGAAATATTTGAGACTTCACTTGCATCTCCGAGACAAGATTCAGCAGTGGTTTCCAGTGAGTTCCATACTTTTAAATCTTTTATATGGAAGGCCGTCTCAGGTCTTAGATCACAGCTGGAATTCATCTATCAGGCCTTAGATGATCTTGACATGAGGTCACGTTCGAATGCCTTGCTCTTGCACGGTGTGCCTGAAGTAAGAGATGAGAATACATTAAGAAAAGCTCTAGACATTTGTTGTAACAACTTAGGAATAAGCGAAGTATCTCAGCTTTCTCTAACCGTATGCTCCAGACTGGGGAGGAATGTGGCCATGGGAAAGCCTCGTCCAATACTTCTACGTTTCTGTGACCATCAACTGCGCCAGAGAGTATGGGCTGCTAAACGTGGCTTGAAAGGCACTGGTATAACTTTGTCTGAATTCCTCACTGCCAGCAGGCATGCCGTTTTTGTGGAAGCCCGTAAAAGACTCGGCATCAAGGGCTGCTGGACTATGAATGGCAAAGTCGTAGTGGTTTGTTCCGATGGGACGAAAAAGAAGGTCACAACTATGACAGAGTTATCGGACTTCACGACCTGCAAACCGACGCCGCCGTCAAATCCATCCAACTCAGCCACAGGTTGTAGCTCCTCAAGGTCTGCTGTTGGTGACTCGAATAACCCTCCGCTATCGAGAGCACATGATGTTTCCAACCGGCCTCCAAGTAAAACTCGCCCCACAAGATCTGCAGCTGCGAAATCCAAATAATATGCCGAATTGTCGGCTCCAGTGCGTAGCAAGCAATGTACTTCATTTTCTTGTTAGCATTTCTTTTGGTTCAATAATTTCCAGCAAAATTACTTTCTCGTTTCACCCCACTTTTACTTTTATTATTTTTTTATGCGTAACTTCTAAAAGTTTAAAATTCTGCTTGTTGACAGTTAATGTCATTTATTTAATTTTTTTTTTTTTTATACTAGTTACGTTCTGTTTCACGCAAGTACCTTAGGGAAGAAACTGTTATTATTGAACATTTTATAAGATCATTGTGTTAAACTTTTTGAATTGATAATGCGTGTAGTTATAAAATTCTTTAATTTATTGCAAATTACTTTAAATCTCTTTATTTTTAATTATTTCTTTTTTTTTTCTCACAGTAAATGCCGTTATTTTATTGTCGGGTTTAATTAGGTACCTATTGTCTTTCTTATAATTAAGTTTAGTGGTTTTAAATTTATTTTTCTTTTACTGTAATAGCTGCTGGCGAAAGCTGATTGAAAAGGAAAGGTTAATTTGTCTTCATAAATACTATTATATTATATTATACTATATTACATTATACTATATAATATTATATTTATATTATATTTATAAACACTATTATTTATACATAAACTATAATTATATCAGCTCAATGTCGGATGTTTTGAACACTGATTCGGATTCTGAATATTTCTCTTTGTCGTCCTCTACAACTACTTTTTCGGATGCAGAGGATGACATGCCCTCGCTTGAGGAAAGACTGAAGGTTGCTTTCTCATCTCTACCGAAAAACTTTAACGTTGTTCATATTAATGCGCAAAGCCTTGCTAGTCATTATAACGATCTCGTGACATCTTTCACCAGCAAAAATATTCATGCAGTCCTTATTTCAGAGACATGGCTTAAACCTTCACTACCATCTACTCAGTACCCTTTACCAGGTTTTAGGCTCATTCGTAATGATCGAGCCTACACCATTGGATCCCAGGGCGGTCGTATGAGGATGGTTGGTGGAGGTGGCGTAGCGATTTATCTACGATGTGACATTGACTGCGAGATCGTAGCACAGTCGGTGACCAGCGCGGACTCTCCTGAATATCTTTTTTTGGAAGTCACTCTTCACCACACTAGGGCCCTACTGGGAGTTTTTTACAGTCCTCACCTAAGAGTTGACTACTTTGAGCAACTAGAGTCGGTTCTGGCTGATCTACGTACCCGCTACGAACATATTATACTCATGGGTGACTTCAATACCTGCCTTATTAAGCGTGACTGCCGATCGAGGAAGTTGCTTTCACTCTTCCACTCACTTTTTTTGAATTGCCTCGAGTTGTGTCCCACTCACTTTCCGCATAATGGTCAACCTTCCCTTCTTGATCTGATCATCACTTCTTCTCCTGAGCTGGTTGATTCTCATGGACAGTTTAATGCTGCTGCTTTTTCTTCACACGATTTAATTTATGCTTCGTTCAAAATTCGTCCACCTAAGCGCAGACATAAAACCTTAATGCTCCGCAATTATGGTAAAATAGACAAAAATGCCCTTTTTGATGATGTGCTGAATTCTGATTGGGAGCTAGTGTTTGGAGCGGAAGACGTGAATGAAATGGTTCAAGCTTTTAACTCTATTATTTTGACCATCTTTGACAAGCATGCTCCTCTTCAAGTTGTCCGAGTCAAACATTTCCCCGCCCCTTGGCTCACGCCAGATATCAAAGAGGTTATGGAGAGGCGCAACAGAGCACGTATCAGATTGCGGAAGAATCCAACCAAGATCAATAGTGAGTCCTACATCGAGTTACGTAACCGCTGCAACAAGCTCTGTAGGAACGCCAGGCGTAAACATATTCACTCCACTATCGAAGGTTGTCCGCATACTAAAATGTGGAAATATTTGAAGTCACTAGGCATAGGTAAAGCTGATCATGTCTTTCCCTTCAATGTCGATCTTAACGCACTGAACGACTACTTTGCATCTTCCCCAGTATGTTTAGATTCAGTCATAAAATCGCGAACTTTATCTGTCCTGGCCAATGCACCTTGTCTTGCTTCAGCCTCTTTTGATTTTGGGAAGGTTACGACAGCAGATGTGTTGAAAATACTTAAGTCTGTCACCACGAAGGCTGTTGGTAATGACGGTTTGAGTCTTGATATGATCACTCCAATACAGGACCTAGTAGCTCCTATCTTAGCTCATATCCTTAATTTTTCCCTTTCCAGTGGTGTGTTTCCCGCTATATGGAAACAAGCCCATGTAATTCCTCTCCCTAAAAAATCAAATCCTTCTTCTTTCTCCCATTACCGCCCTATCTCCATACTTCCTGTATTGTCTAAAATCCTTGAGCACTATGTCCATAATCGACTCACTAACCACCTCCTACGTTACGACATTTTCAACCATCTGCAGTCTGGTTTTCGAGCGGGCCATAGCACAGTTTCTGCTCTGGTGAAAATCACTGACGACATTCGTCTTAATATAGAAAATAAAAAAGTTACTGTCCTCACTTTATTGGATTTCAGCAGTGCTTTCAGTACTGTTGATTTTAATTTGCTTCTTGCTGTGCTTAGAACTTTAAATCTACCTCCCTTAGCCGAATCCTGGTTTCGTTCGTATTTGTTTGGCCGTTCCCAACTCGTAAAGACCGGTGACATGCACTCGGACTGGTGTAGCCTTACGGCTGGCGTTCCGCAGGGTGGGGTTTTATCACCTATACTTTTTTCGGTCTTTATCGGTGGAATTACATCATCACTCACGTCTTCTTTCCATCTCTATGCCGATGACCTTCAAATCTATACTGCAGCCCGTCTTGAAGATGTAGTTACTGCTATCGGCACATTGAATTCCGACCTACAAAAGGTTTCGGTATGGGCTAAGAACTACGGACTTCTTTTAAATGCACAAAAGTCCCAAGCCATAATTATTGGCAGTCGCCATTCCATCTCCAAGTTTGAGTCTATGGTGATGCCCAATTTAGTTTTGAATGACACCATTATTCCTTTTTCCACTTCAGTTAAAAATTTGGGCATCATAATGGATCAGACACTTTCTTGGTCGGAGCATGTCGCCGATGTAAGTCGTAAAATCTTTGCATCACTTCACTCCCTCAAGCGGATGCAGTACTTTCTTCCTCTGTCTACCAAATTTATGCTAATACGCACTCTTCTTTTTCCTATTCTGGACTATGGTGACGTCTCCTATCTTGATCTTTCGGAGGACCTTCTTAATAAATTGGAGCGGCTGCAAAATCAATGTATCAGATTTGTGTTTGGATTGAAAAAGTACGACCACATTTCCAAGTTTAGAGATGAGTTGAAGTTGTTGCCTATTCGTTTACGTAGAAATGCTCACATTTTATGCTTCCTCTATAAAATCCTGTTCCATCCCACTTCACCTAGCTATCTACGTGAGCGTTTTCAATACCGCCAGGCTATGGGTGACCGCCTGCGTTCTGGCACCAATTTGTCCCTCGTCCTTCCACAACACAGTTCCCAAAAATATTCGAACTCGTTCACGGTAAATGCTGCCCGTATGTGGAACCTTCTCCCGGTCGAGGTCAGACAGTCGCCTTCGGTTCGGGTTTTCAAGGGTGCTCTTTTGAAGTTTTGGGATTGTTCAGACTCCACATGTTAGAGCTTTTGAAATATTTATTTACATTTGATATATTTATTTATAGTTTTGTTATAGAGTTTGTATGTATTAATGTATCAATATTACTTAATATATATGTATTCGTATGTACATTTGATTTATTAAATTTATCTGTATATTTATTGAGTATAGTATATTCCATTTCTTTACTTATCTGTTTTTAGTGCCACCCCAAAAACCAACTTTCCTCTCAGATTTTTCAAAGGTTAGTTGGAAGAAATCTCTTTATGGGATAAGCTCGCCTTTGTACACAAATATTTAAATTGTTTCTGAAAATTTGTAAGTTACTTTGTGGTACAATAAAGTGTTTAAATAAATAAATAAATTATATTAACAATGATGACTACTAACTATCATAACTACAACTTATATAATAGAAGTTAAGGATACATTTCATTTCGTGCCTAATTAAAAAATATAATGGTGATTATACACACATTACATGACTAAAATATAAATTAAATTTGATGTCAATAAATAGGATAAAAAGGTGGTATTAAGTTTGATGTCAATGAATAGGTTAAAGAGTTAACTTCTCGTGTTTCAACCTGTGGCAAATACAGGGAATTTTCAATCGGGTTCATGACTTTTGTTAATTTAATTTTTTGATTTGGTTCTTGTGTAGTGCTATTTAGAGTACCAATTGTAGCAAAATAGTTGTTAAATGAGTTCGCCACTATTTTAGGATCCGAGCAACAAGAATCAAGGTTTTGTAGTTTTATATTTTGTTTAATTTTGAGATTATTTTTATTTGTTTCATTATTTATTATTTGCCACATTGCGTTCATTTTATTATTTGAGTTTTGAAACTTGGTGATATTTTTCAATTTACGCGCTCTCCGAACTACTTTTTTTAAGATGTTTTCGTACTTTTTGTAGTGATTTTTTAGAATTTTACTATTTGTTTGTGATAAATGAAATTTATCAAGTCTTTTGTTCAGGCAAGATGTTTTTATTCCCTTTGTAATCCACGTAACCTTGCGCTTTAGTGGGATTTTAATACGTTTTATGGGTATGCATCTGTCTAAAGTTTGTTTTAATATTCCTTCAAATGTGTCATAGTTTTCGTTAATGCATTTATTAGGTTTTATGATTTCTTGCCATTTTACAGATTTTATTTCGTTTTTAAATTTTGTCATGTTTTGTTCATTGTACGTTCGCTTATCAATAAGAAAATATTTAAAATTTAGAATTTGAGATAAGATTGGCAGCAAAATACCTCGGTGATCTGAGAATCCCAGTTCATGAACAGAGGGTTCAAGGGTGGTGTGGTTGTTTGATTGGACAAAGATAAGATCCAAGCATGTTGCAGTAGTTTTAGTGACTCTAGTTGCTACTTTTACTTGTTGCTTAAAGTTATAAGTAAGCATGAAATTAGATAGTTTTCTTTTTTTCTTTGTATTCTTATTAAAGTTAATATTTAGGTCTCCCCCTAGGATTATTGATTTAGAACCATCTTTTTGATTTAGAATTTTCATTAATTTTTCAAGTTGATTGTAAATAGTAATACTTTGTATGTCACCATTTGGCCAATACAATGTTATTAAAAGCGTATTCAAAGTTTCTATCTCTACGGCACATATTTCAAAAACAGTTTCGATTGACAAAGTATTTATGTCATTACGTGTTTTAAATTCAAGTGAGTTTTTTAGTAAGATGCATACACCACCTCCTTCATAGTTTGATCTGCTATACGAAGATACCAAATTGTAGCCAGTTATATGTAGATATTTTAGTTTGTCATTTGTCAACCACGATTCAGTTATACAAATAGCACTGATATTTGGCCTATCATCTAAAAATGCTTCTAGGAGATGGCATTTGGGCAGTAAGCTACGCATATTTTGGTACAATACATAGAAATTAGTTTCGAAAGTCTCGAAAGTTATGTTGCAGGTTGCTGTTGCTATAAGTTGTTTCTGATTCATTTTGAGCGCATTGAAGTGGAGGGTCGTTGTTTAATTTCATATAGTTGTTGTCATGAGTGCTGATTTCTGAAGTACGTTGTGGATTGCTTAACTGATAAGGCAATTTTTTGTCTCGTAGATCTTGGACTGTTGTCTCTTTTCCATTAATTAAGAGTTTGTTATTTCGAAACACGGCATGCTGTCCGTTTCTCCGGGCGGTAAGCATTTCCTCTTTTAGTGTTCTCTTGTCTTGTAGAGCTTGTTTGTTAAGGTATTCCGAGACAGCGATACCAGTGTTTCTGAAATACTGTCTACAGCTCAATAGATAACTTGTCATTCGCTTAGAAATGAGTTCTATTTTGATAGGTCTTCTCGTCCCTCGTTTCCCTAAACGTGTAAGTACCTCTACGTATCCTGTTAAGTCTACGTTTAGAATATCGTACACTGTATTGATGACTCTGTCATAGGTTTCATCGTTACTTTCCCAGTAATTTTCCGTTAGTCCATATAAAACATATTTGTCACGTTATGATTTTTTTTGTTAAAACCATTTGTACAATGATCTAGTGTACTTACGTTTACAGTTTATAAATAACGAATTGAAAAATTGACCTATCTATTTTAGAAATCAATCAAAATTTTTAATTGAAAGTGAAATCAATTTAATGCATTAATTACTTATATGCAACATACGTCATTTTCAGGATTCTACCTCCATTATAAAACAATTTCCTTGAAATTTTACGGTCGACATTACTTTGTAAGCGGTCTGATTTTATTAGTCTAGACATGCCACACACGATATGGATTAATTTATTAAATTTTTACTTATGGTAAATATCATTAAAATGTGCTTTTTATATTAAACCTTTTTATAAATATAGAAATGGTAGAGTCGCATTGATTCTGTGTTGAGCCAGGATGATTCGTTCCAATCATCTACGTTCTTTACGGTCAGATGTACTCAATCGCTTGATTGACACTTGAATGTCTTTCTTTTTAAGTTTATTAAACGTCGCGAAATTTTACTACCATGATATTCATTTTTTTTTAATGAAATTACTCCGCTATTTTGTTATAATAAAAAAGATCGAACACTCAGAAAAAAATCATTCGATACGGCTGGATTCGACCCATCAGGGAATCCGTGGCAGATGCTTTGCCAATTAAGCCACGAAGCGAACCCGCAGAACTTGCAAATCTCTATTTTTGGTATTTAACGACT